AAAAAAAAAAAGAAAGAAAAAAAAAAAGAAACAAGGCTCTTGTATTAAGGGACTTGGCCAAAGCCTTGTCTTCAAGGTACACAACCACATTCTGCCACCTGTGATCAACCCCTTTACTCAGCCAATATCTTAGCTCCAGAAGCTCCTTTTCCACAGACAGTCTCAGTCCTCCACTAGTAACAACAACCCACCTATTGACCTGCACTCCTCCACTAGTAACAACAACTCACCTATTAACCTGCACTCTATCAGCAAAAGCCAAACCATTTAGTCTTTCACCTCTTGAAATGATTAGAGTAGCACTTGCTTCATCACCCAACATCCCTACTCCCTGCTTCATCTCAGGCTCCTACCCTACTCTAATATTTATGAGCTTATGATCTTTTCCCACCCCAGAACTATTAGCACACTTAAATTCCAACCACTCTGCTCTTGCCTTCTCCAACAACTGGATTTTAAAAATACGTTCCTTCTAAAAAAACCATTCATTTCTTGTTTTCTATATCCACCATAATTAGTAAGTGAAAAAGCAGTTACATTCTTCTTATGGTCACTGGTTTTCAGATTGCATAAGTCCTCCCACAAATCCCTGAAGTCAACCTCATCCTTATCCATTTTGATCTAGTGCAGCCCACCTAACTTTCAGACTGTTTGAGCCCTCTCACACATAAACATCAAATGCTCAAAATTTTTTACCTTAGTACCACACCAACAACAAATCACATCATGCACCACTCATTTTACCTGTAGCCCCACCTTTGTACCAATCCAAATGTGCCAACACCTCCAGATAAATACTTAACTTTCTGTTTGATTGGTAAAAACCAGAAAGTCATCCATATTTTTTGTAATCTCCATGTTCCCCTACTGGATTCAGCCTCTCTTGCCTCACTCTTTTTTTTTTTTTTTTTGGCTGAATTATAGAGAATTCACCTTTGACAATGAACAAGACTTTCTTATCAGAGTGCTAGATCATTTTATCTTTAGACCCCATGTACTAATGTGAAGCTTCCGAATATTGGCAGGATCATTAGGGAAAAAATTTTGTAAGATAAGCTCATTGTCCCAATTTTTGCCTCATGCATCCATGAGATCAACCACTTTGACCAGCCTCTGTCTATCCTCAATGAGACAACAATTAAGCTTAAAATCAGGAGAATGAAGGATCTAGGGAGAACAAACATTGATACACAAACTATTTCCCATTTGGTATCTTAAGCCCAATTTTACAGATTTCCTAGCTTCTAACTACCTTTTCCACATCCATGAATCACTACTCCATTTTTCCAGTTCCACAATATGTTGATTGTGAAAATATTTCCCCCTAATTACCCTACTCATCAAAATATTGGGAATGGTTAGTAACCTCCACAGCTGCTTAACAAGCAAGGCTTCATTAAACTCAAAATGTTCTCTAACCCCATGCCCCCTCTAACTTAGGTTTGGCTAGACTTGCCAACTTAGACCAGTGAATCCTAGTTCCACCCTCCCCCCTCCAGCTTAGGCTTCATTAAACAAGCACAAGTATGTAGTAGTTACTACTTTGATTCATCTCGGTAACGTTCATTGTGTCTAGATCAATAACTGGATGAGTTGGATACTAATGTTGCATGCATGGTGTGCTATTATATATTTACGGTCACCATGTGCCTCAGTTCGATGATGTTTCCGAAGTGAGCTCAAAAAGATTATTATGTTAAACCATGCATGTCGATTAAGTCCGCCATAAAAATAATGATTTGAGTGGTGCTAGCTTCGACACAAGAAATCAATTAATTTGATTGTCAGTAATTAAATTGATTTATGGATATTATTTCATAAACATCGGGAGATAATTCGGGTAATTATGAATCAAAGCTCAAATTGTAATTTGGGGGTTAAATTGGGAGTTTAATAAGATTACCGTAGTGGAATGACTATGGGCGTGATTGTATATATTTTCTACAGTAAATATCTCACTCAAAACTCAAATTTAACTCAACTCCACTATCTCCAATATTATCGATATAATTAAATAATATCAAACAATCATTCTTATACATCATATCGACTTTAATTCACTATTTATCCACTCACATAATTTTAACTAACCATTTTTTTTCATTATTAAAAATAAAAACTAAAAATAAAATAAAACAAAATAAAAATAAAAATACAAAGGTCACAAAAATATACGATGTGTATCTAAAATCGGATCCTCAAAAGAGGCCGACCGAATCTAGTCAGGGGCAGGAGGTGGCGGTCGACCGAATCTGAAGGATGGGTACTCTAACTGGTCCATCCGAATGAGCGTCCGAAGTCGGAGGGGAATGTCCTCAAGAAGGAGGGTGCGTCTCTGGGGTATAGAGGCCCCCGTGCTAGCAAGGAAATCGGCAGGCCGGTTCCCCTCCCGGAAAATATGTGAGACCTGGTAATGGATCGAGCGGAGGGTGTCTCTGATACGCATAAGAAGATGCTGGATCTGCCATGAGCCCTGGTGGCCAGATGTCAAAAGTGTGATGACAGCCGCAACATCCATCTCTATCCAAACATGAGAGGAGATCGGGGCGGCCATCTCGAGGCCAATCTGGAGCGCCTGAATCTCTGCATCATAACTCGAGGAGGCCCAGAGTGGCCCATGGAAGGAAGAGATGAGTGCCCCACCATGATCCCTAATCAGGCCCCCTCCTCCAGCAGCTCCGGTATGTCTGTCGAAAGCGCCATCAATGTTTAGCTTAACCCAAGGGGCCTTGGGTTTCAGCCAAACAACGGTCCTGAGACGTGGATGCTGGACAGGTAAAGGAAGTGGTGGCCTCAAACGATGGGGCGGTGTACACCCTGTCCAGTCTTTCGTCGTGAGTCTACCCAGGGCAGTGAGGAGAGAGAGGTGTCTGTCAACCTGCAAAATAATGTGAGCACAAGAAAATATAATATCCCTATGTTTCGCATTATTCCTTTCTGTCCAGGTGGCCCAAAGGATCAGACAAGAAATAAAGAAGCCCACGTGTCTACTGTGTGTGTGGTGAGCGAAAAAACTCAGAAACTCAAAAAAACTATATGTAGTGGGTAGGGGTATATGAGTATATCTGGCATAGTGCTCCCACACTCTCCTCACAGTCTCACTCTCAAGGAAAAGATTGGTGAAAGTCTCGATCTCAAAGGTACCGGTCTCAGCACAACAATGGCAGCGGGAGGGGAAGGAGAACCCTCTCGCCTGCATCACAGTGTCAATGGGAATGCTCCGTAAGAGGAGGCACCACAAAAAAACAGAAATGGTCGGGGTGAAGAGGTCGGTCCATATGGCCTCGAAGAGGCGGTTTGGCCGGTTGTCCAACCTCACTTCTCCCCAGGCTGATGACGTAGAGAATGCACTCGAAGATGTAAGTCTCCACCTCATGCCATCCAAACCTCCCTCCATAATGGGAATCTGTCGGATCTGATCAATCTCTAGACTACTAAAACCCCCACCCTCACCAAGAATATCCTCCATCCTATCTCTATCCCAAAAACCTCTCGTCCAAAGGTCCTTCACCTGCATGAAAGGCAGGTGA